AATTTTTCATTTTGTTTTCCCTAAATTAAAATTTTAGAAGTTATAGCCAATTAATCATTAGAATTGTTAGAGTAGCAGTTTAAATTTATAAAATTTAGTATTCCAAATTCACCATATATGAACAATACATACCAATAATTGTAGTTTACAAAGACACTGTTTCATCTTAATATGGAAGCACTAACAATTGTAATAGAATGAATGGCTTTACAGACAGTTGATAACAGCACTTGAAGACTGATCAGCAAGTGATTATTCAAGGTAGACAGTTAGACTGTGGCAATTACATTGCCGCAGCTGAAGACCACATACCAGAAGTGTGTTTTGTACAGGTTTAATTTGCCTGCTCTTCTGTGTTCTTCTTCAAAAGTAATGTAATCAAGTCTTAAGATACTTGTTGAAAGGCAGTGGCTATAGCTTTTTCTTTTTTTTTTTTTTTTTCTTTTTAAATTGCTTTTAGTGGTTTCTGGAAGATTTGTGTGAGTTCTGGTCTCTTTCAAAATGTCATTTTTATGAGCTCCATTCTTCTGGCAAAGCTGACAAGTATGTACTCAAATCCTCAAGAACTTTTATGTAACATCACAGTAATGACGGTGTTCTTAAGACTTCAAATTTACTGTACAGTCACATATTAGGACAGATGGATAGAAGAATGCATTTTTAGGGGGCCATTGTAAGAACTCTGGAAATAATATATCTCTTCTCACTGGAAATAAATTAGTTTTAGTCTGTGAAAATAAACTTCTTCTTTAGGAGAGGTGCGATAGGTTAGAGTGATATCACAGACTTTTAATTCACCAGTATTCATCCAGAATGATGGACAGTTCTCACTTCAGTTTTCCTTCAGTTTTCCTTGGAGACATTCTGTCAATGTCTGTTGTTTGTTTGTTTGTTTTTTCCTACTAAAAACTCATGACTTAGTGACCTAATTGATACTCTAGTTCTAAGTCTTCAATTTGAGTAACATATTTTGTGGTGTTTTTTTAATCAGGTACTTATATGTAATTCAGTCCTGGTATGATGCAACTTGCTTAGTGTTAGCTATTAAACTGAATATCTTGCTGGTCATCTATATTATCCCCATAATTATTGAAGGAAGTCAGCTCTAGCAGCAGAACAAACCTAAAGCTAGATGGTCGAAATGGAGCGAATCTTGTGTAGGTACCTGTATCTGTAATATTAGTAAAGAGATCTTAGTTGATTAGGCCAGCTTGTTGATGTTTATCTGTAGGCGCACTGAAACAAACCTGGGGGGGGGCAAACAGAGAGACCCAATTCTAATTTCTGGAAAAGGGCTGTGTACTCAAAGAATGAAGGACTTATTTGCTGTTGATACATTTTTAAAGTAGCACTTATTTTTTAACATCACAGCTATGTGGTGTTAAGAGGTATGATTAATGCATGAGCTGAAATGTGTAATATCACTTCTATAGAAAGTGTAAAAATTTTAAGTATATGATCTCTCACTTCAACTGGAATTAAAGAATAAATAAATAGATATTCATATCTCTCTGTAATCTGTTGTATACAGATTATGTATAACAGATTACTCTAAATTGTGTAGCCTTAAAATTAAATGTTTATTTTTACATATAATATAGGAAAACAATTATTGCCTAGATCTCAGAGTGCCCTGTTACAGATCATCATAAGCATGATATTTTCCTAGTTTATAACAGGATAAAGCTTAATGGTTTTAGAACAGAAGGAAAAGATTCAACTTAGAGTTGTGCAGATGTCTGTGGTTATCAAGTATTTACAGTTGTCCTTTTGCAGCTCTGAACTCACTGTAAAAAGACAATTGTTTGTTTAGATGCAAAATACAATATAAGGAAATTGCTCAAATTTTGATTGATTTAAAGGCCATTTATTACCATAAATACAGAATTTCTCAGAAGCAACTCCCATTATTAAGACTGGAGCCAAGATTTTGTCATAACTTCTATTTTAAAATTTATATTTTGAATGGTATATTACATGCTTTTATTGCTGTCAGTGCAGAAGCAAAATGTTTGACTGGTTCTGACCATGATTCAGATTACAGAGAAGTCCTTAGCACATTTAAGAAGCTGCTATAATTAATTCCAGGGCAAGAGTCTGATTTATGTTTCTTAATCAGACAGCAGAGAATTGATGAAAATGCATTTTGTAACAGACGTCTTGTCTGACAACATCATAAAAAATGGAAGTGTTGATTCTAGTAGCTGCTATGTGTGGAGGCACATTTCTTGCATGAAAAAAAAAAATCACAAGGTTAGTTTTCCTGGGCATCTATAACTGAGATATTTGACTTAGAAAACAGATATGAGTTCGGCAGTTATATAGATTTATTTGGGTTGAGAAGTATCATACTGTATATGTTGTAATGATTATATATATGATGTGGATTTGCTGCTCACTAGAGATGCTGGCTTACAAGTGAATACAAGAAAGGAATAAAATGCAGAATTAAGGCTGCTTCTGAAATATGTGTTACATTTAATAGATTAAATATAAGAATTTTATGCCTCCAGTTCTTCCTTTTATTTTTTTTTCTTTCAATATTTCTGTTTATAACTTTAAGCATGCTAACAGTTACAGCAAATTTATAATCTAATGACATTGGTTAAAAACAGAATCTTCTCTGTTTCTCAGTATAAAGACCCCTAAATGAGGTAATTAGATTTGTAAAAGTATGACTATCTGTAGCTGAAAATGTGAGTACTTCTGAAAAGGTGACATGGAAAAGCAGTGGCACCACACTGGATTTTGTATGCCAAATCTTCAGAATTCTCCTTTTGTATTGCTTACTCTGCTTGGACAGTATTTAAGAACTTTTATAAGCTCACCTTTTAATGCTTCTGAAGAACAACTATCTTCTCGTACATCAGATTTTCAAATAGTGTGTAATTTTGGTACAATAAAAAAGTCACATGCAACATACTCTGCAACTTAAATTAAAAAATACTTCAAAATGTGAACAATTTTTTTAAATTATCCTATTTTTAAAAAACCAAAAGAATTATCTACCAGTAAGAAGAATGTGTGTGTAAATATACCTCATAAATTCCTGAACAGAAGACAATTTATCTTTTGTGTTTTCCTTAAATCACACAAGATATCCATGAGCATATATATTTCACAAATGTTTTGAGAGTGGCATGTGGCTACTTATTTGCTGTTGTGACCAGCTTTGACTGTTATGTTTCAGATGTAACTTCATGTCTTTCTCAAGGTCCAGTATTCCAAAGATACAAAGAATAGCAAATATTTCTAATTACCATGTGTTTACAAAAAGCGAACGAACAAACAGAAACAGCCAAGCAAAAATAAATCAGAAAGGACAAAAAGGAGAGTGTCAAGGAAAAATAAATATCTAGGAGACCAGTCACTCGTGTAAACGATTATTATATAACATTAAATCTTATATTGGGCCTTCCAGTAATTGAGTACTGCCTGTGCTACTGATGCTGATATGTGAGATGCTGTTGGAAAACTCATCGCTGCTGCAAAGCATAGTGGTGTGATCCAAAGTGATGCAGAAAACAGTAGGCGCTCTGTCACTAGGTCAGCTGCAAGACGAAGTGACATGCGCGAATCTACAGTATATGGGGTTTTGTGAAAGATTCAGTCTCTCTTTCTTCCAAAGAACTTTAGCTGATGACACAAGGGGAATTCAGTTCCCTTTGGCAGGACTCCATGTTGGTCTGGATGCTGTAAATACTTCTGCTTCTACAATTACTTAGCTCATGCTGCTAAAAATACACTCATGACAGAGTTAATGAAAGTATTTTTTTTTTCAAACCACTTGTCAGCAACAATCATTTAATGTTCTTGCTTGCATGTGTGGTTCTCATTATTCAGATGTAGTTATTAATACTGATGAAAATTAGAGAGAGAAAATCCAAATATTTTCATACTTGCAGTTTCCCAGTAGCATTTAAAAATAAATGAAACACCAAAATCTAAACAAGTACAAATATTCTTTTTTTTCTGTTTTTTTTTTCTTTTTTCTTTTTTCTTTTTTTTTCTTTCTTCTTTTTCTTTTTTCTTTTTTCTTTTTTTCCCTTTTTCCTTTTTTCTTTTTTTTTCTTTTTCTTTCTTTGTTCTCTTCTCTTCTCTTCTCTTCTCTTCTCTTCTCTTCTCTTCTCTTCTCTTCTCTTCTCTTCTCTTCTCTTCTCTTCTCTTCTCTTC